CCTACCACTACAAACTAGATAACATATATACCACTACAAACTAGATAACATATCTACCACTACAAACTAGATAACATATATACCACTACAAACTAGATAACATACTTACCACTACAAACTAGATAACATATCTACCACTACAAACTAGATAACATACCTACCACTACAAAGTAGATAACATACCTACCACTACAATCTAGATAACATATATACCACTACAAACTAGAGTCTTACTGGCTATTGATGATATTTAAGATGTTAGTGTTAACTTTAGCGAGGAATTCTAGTCAGCTAATTTCTAAGGATATTGCTCGAGACAGCTCCGTTCTAGAAATATTAATATGAGTCATCTCCGATCCAAGATTGCTGCACAGTTCGCGGAAAACTGTTAGTTGCCAGCCTATTAAGACAGATTGTTTGTAGACAAAAACAACTGCTGCGAGACAGACAACTTTCAGAAAAAACTGCCGTATTTGTCATATGGTAAATTAAACGTTTAACTTACTCATGCATCGTGTTTTGCTCATTTCCCCTTTCCATACGCCATCAAAGCACTGTAAGACAGATGTCTCTGTCTCGTACATTGGATTACAAGTGAGCGTTGTGTTTTGTTTATGGGCAACAATTTGCGGTCCACTGAAAATCCCATTGTTATCCTCCGGTCTGATGCAGCTTGCTAATAAATTAAGTAAATAAGTAATTTGATAATCAGTAAACGTTTTCTGTCGCATCTTATTGTTGCACAGTATTACAGTGAAATTACGCAGTAGTTTAAGAGTGTCAAATAAAATAAAATTAAAATCTTTACGCCTACTTGTATGGGTCTAATAATGGTCTGTGTGAAATAATGTTAGTTTAAAGGAAAGGTAGGTGCCAATAACGTTCTGTAGCAGCAGCATATCATTTTTGTTTAATTTATGAAGCCATACAACATATAATTGCTACAATGTTGTTGACACGACAGCGAAGTAACGCATTGTAGATAAACTGTGACACATATACTAGGTTAAATTAATTCGTGGTAGCCATATGTTGTATCCACGACCATTATGAACGGTAGTTAGTATTCTGGAACTTATATTTATACTATACATAACATTCTTTGCTAGAAACTACGAGATTTTGCTGGTGCTGGCGACTAAACCTAATGTCGTCATCATCGGAGATCTCATCAAAATGATTCAGTTGGTTCAGAGTCGAGATCAATCCAATCAATGCATGCATAGAACGTACTTACTTAATTGCAATTACTGAATGCCAATTTATTGTAAAGGTGCGTGAATATCGCGGATAGAACTAGCCCACATTTTAGTTAAAATGTTTCTAAGTTGTCTTTAAATAAATACATTGATTGTTTCAGAAATTTAGTATTTGTTTCACTACAGTCCATAAACTGGCCACAACACACTTTCAAAAAACAGCGTTACTGTCTTCAAGTGAATAGGACGCGCTAAAGACCTTGGGACTCGCACACACAAATAACCGTTCTAATGACATCTTGAAATCCATACAGAATATCAAAATTGCTAACTATTTAATATTGTATTTATTAAAAACTAGCATGTAGGAATATACCTGCACAATACGGGACTGGGTGCGTCCAATATCCGTTTCTGCACCAGTTAGCTGTACTAGTATCCAACGTGTCTGAACCATTAATCTGTTTTGTAATATTAGTATCCGAGGTATGTGAATCATTGTACGGATTTGTAATATTGGTATCCAGCAAACAGGAATTATTGCACTGATTTGTAATATTATTATCCGAATAATATGAATCATTGTACTGATTTGTGATATTAGAATCCAACGAAATTGAATCATTGTACTGATTTGTGATATTAGAATCCAACGAAATCGAATCATTGTACAGATTTGTGATATTAGAGTTCAACGAAATTAAATCATTGTACAGATTTGTGATATTAGAGTTCAACGAAATTGAATCATTGTACGGATTTGTGATATTAGAGTTCAACGAAATTGAATCATTGTACGGATTTGTAATATTAGTATCTAAATTATATGAATTATTGTACTGATTTGTGATATTAGAATCCGAAGTAATTGAATCATTGTACTGATTTGTGGTATTAGTATCCGAAGTATACAAATCACTGTACTGAGTTGTAATACTGGTATCCAATGTAGATAAATCAGTACTTGGCGTTGTTATAATAGGATCGATTGGATAGGCATCTTTCCACTGTGCTGTTATTTCGACAACCAACGTATAACCATCATCGCATTGAAAGTTGCGTCTATCACCGTGAGCAATACCTCCAGATACGTTACCGTGTTCTATCATGCCAAGATCGCTGCAATCTGTACACAAATGAAGTTATAACGATTCAGAGAGTGGTTCAAAACATCACGTGATATCGACAATGAGTAAAACCTGTGCCCTCTCTGTACCACTAAGTAATGAATGGAGAACGAAATAACCAGTGTTGGCAAATAGACACAGTGACGCCTATATTGAGAGTATAAATATGGTGCTGTATGAGGGGGAATTCTTCTTCCTGGGGTTCAGAGGGGAATCTCGTCTCGTCTCTCTATCGCGTCCCTTTGAGGTATGGGATCGGGAAATTCACTTAAGTCTTACAGTCAAATAAGACAGACACAACGAAATACGTTTCAACTCTCGTCTTAGTCCATCAGTCGAGCACTCTATAAGGCTCAGCGCCCTGGGGAAAAATCCCCAAGACTATCGCAAGGCTGACCCAAGACGCGCCCAAGACTGCGTCAAGACTCGCCCCAAGACTCTCCAGGACTGGACTTGTCGTGGTGTACTCGCCAAGACCAACTAAAACAACTTTATTCATTTTCAAAACCTTAACCAATTACAAAACAGTATAAAGACTCTAGGGCGTAACCTTCTATCATAAAGCCAATCACACTAAGTACTGAATACGTCATATCTTTTGATTAATCGTTCACTGCATTAATAATTGCGAATACCAACTGTCAGAAATAGTAGTCCGAATAGCGACGGTTATCTCGTAATTAGTTCCAAATCACTGAGCCAATTTCCCTGCAGGACCTCGCATAGACCTAAACGATGACAGACATAACAGAGCCATTCACTCGTAATCAACTAAATAAGTCGATCAACAGATACGCAAAAACAATTTCATCATAGCTGCAGAAAATACCTGTAAATCGAAGCGGATTATAAAATATCCTCACTGAAAACCGACAAAATTTAAACATCGTGCTATAAAGAGCTAATATCAAAACCGACTTACCACAAAAACCAGCCCAGTTTCGACTCTGTATCGATTCCATGTCATTGCCAATACATGGCATTCCCCCATCCTGGGGTAGTGGGTTGTCACATAGTCGGGTTCTTGTACGATTACCCCATCCACAATCCACGAGATTATCACTCCACGCCGACCATTTTCCCCAACCACCATCTAAGTAACGATACATTACAATTTTAAAAAATATGACTAAAATATTTCTCAGATCGTAGCTCATTTTGGTTTTCTCAAATCAACAGCTTTGGTAAAACTTACCTACAGCGCAAAACACTACTACATCTTGTTGATTCGTACACACGTGCGCATCCAATGCGTTGCCATAGGAACAGTAGGCGAGAGACGTCTCATTGCCGGTACAGTGTACATCAGTTATCAGAATAGGCCGTCTGTACTCAGGAGTTATTATAAAATTTCCTAGAAGGAAATTGATGTCGAGAAAATGTCGAATTCAAATTTTATTTATTTCAAATATTCGAAAACGTATGATGTGATGTGATTCATAAACACAGACGCAAATAACACACGCGTATAATCAATATTTAATATCAATATTAGTTGACCTATGACCTATGGTTTTGGTGCCAGTGAAATTGCGTTCGAAAACAATATATATCACAAGTAATTCCAATAAATGTGGTATAGATAGGTTTTTGTTTGTAACGCCATTATGTAAAATGTCATCGGGGGATCATTCTTATCCTACTTAAATATGCTTTCATTCAAAATTGTGAACATTATATTATTGCATATTAATGGCACACCTGGACCATATAATGCCTTCCCGAGACCTAACTCCCTACAGACAACATCCGTATTTTGTATGCTCCAGTAATCATCGCATATCGTGCCCCACAAACCAGCGTCTTCGCTGTACACTTCCACACGGCCTTGTCCCAGTACCGATGAACCGACTAGACGGATAGATTCTGCAATATACAAACACGATTACATATAAATAAAACATATCATGTAAATGGTTCTGTGTTCATTGAACTTGCTCACATGATGTCACAAACCACTAATCTACGGGCACCTGACAACATTTATACCTGAATATTTTTTCGAAGAAACATGACGAAACTAAACACACCATTCAGGTGCAAGATGTTGAGAGAAAAATAAAAAAAGTACTTTGGATTAAATAAGGCATTACGATCTTAGCTATACAACATGATTGCAATTGTTGTTATAGTATGTTTGATTGGTTTCGAAATTATAGATTACCGCACTGGTATACGTTTTTGCGTGCGTGACTAGTCATTTACTAGTACTGTCTCAAGTTTAGCCCAATCATGTACATTACCCACTGCTTGTTTGGATTTTTCTTTACCAATTTTCCGCCTTGAATTTGTAATTCAGCAACTGTCGATTTGTTATGTGTGCAAAGTACATTAATCCCAGTCATTTTATAACATTTATGTACTTGTATGATATGTAGCAAAGACAAAATACTGAGTCATATACAGTGTAACTGTTTCAAAATATATAATTATGTTGGTAGCCGAAGATGGACATGGATTTTGGAGTCTCCCCATGAGCATGAACAACCACAACTAGTCACAATAGGTGATTTTCCGTTCAACTGCGAGATCTCGCGAGATGCATGAAAGACGCGCGTCGAACGTCTGCCGCAAAAATCGAACGATTTGATTTTTTACTCGAATTTCTTTATTTCGTAGCTCACATCGACCGACCGATCTTCGACAGAGGAATATTGCTTTCGAATACCCTCACTTAATCGAAGTTGTCTATCATTGAATGTGTACGACACATTATTAAGCATGGAAATGCCCCCCGAAATATTTTCGTGTTTGTCAAATCCCACGCGATGTTTGAGCTATGACCTTTGTTTGTCCTGTTTTTACGATCGATTTCACGCATAACGCGTGATTCTCGCAGTGTACAGAAAATCGTCTATTTGGGGCATGATGAAACATACGATCACAAAGTCATTTGTGTAAATCGTTAATTGCCTCCCAACACCTGTGCAATCATCATTGAAGGCTCATCCAATGAACAGGAAGTTCATTGTGTCGTAAGAGGGGATATTTGGGGCACGTAGCACCACTGAATTTCGGTCATTTGTTAAATGACTACATAATCTTTACAAGACTAACATGAAAACTAACTATTGCTAAAAAAGTATATGCATAATTACATTAATTCGAATATTTGTGGAAGTTTCAGATGCGTATGTGCGATATAAAGCTGCATGTATGTGTGAAGTCATTGCAAATTCTCCAAACCTCAACGCACAATCACAGTTCGAATTGACTACAAAATTACTAATTATATTACCAATGCATTATAAATATAAATATATACATTTGAATTGCTTATTCCGAATTGATAATTGGCATTCATGCACGGTGATCGGTTATGCAAATAAGCCAGAACGACCAATGATATATTGAATACGCGCTCTCACTCTACGATCATTAGTATCGCACATGACAGTTCATATCCTCCAGATAATAGTTAGTTGAATTTCCTAATCATTGGTCATACTTACCGTAGTATCGTACATGACATTCCACTGTTTCCTCCGTGTTGCCGATACAGCCTTTGTCAACGTTGGGTTTACCGCCAAGACATTCCCGTTGTCTGGTACGTGTTCCGTCAAAGACAGTGATTCCATTTTTTCTTGGAGTGCATGGCGACCAACTCCACGTGGACCACACTGAAAACAATAGATCACAAATCACAAAGTTACAAACCTCCAGTCTTGACTTAACACTATTTTAATCGTGGGGCTCTTAACGATTGACACAATGAGGTATGATTCTGAATACAACAGCATATATAGGTAGTGTAGGTTACTACTGTATATGACACAATACGCTATGATGCAATCATAATACACATCACACCGATATGACATAATATATAGTTGTACATGACCCAATGATGAGGCACAATATATTTATATGATACAATATACTTATATTGCCGAAATGTACATATACCATGATATGTGGCACATGAATAAGACGCTGCTATACTGACAGGCTAGACTACATCGTTGTGGATGAAGGACTTACAATCTAATTTCACGAATTTTGACTGGAATAGCGATAGTTCATTGTAATCATTTGTTATTTATGACCTCATTCATTACATATAAATATGTATTACTAGGAGACTTGAAAACCCTGCTATTCTAAATACACTCTAATCACCTGACTTAAAATTATTACTCACATGGACAAAGTTGAGTCTCACATTTCCGATATTCAATACTGGCGCCATCACAGTCGTCGCCTCCACCTGCTTTGCGTTCACATTTCCGAGTTTTTGTCTGATATCCCGCGTTGCAGCTCACTGAACAATCTGACCACGATTGCCACATGCCCCACTCGTTGTCAAGCACTAGTGAATAAAAATAGAAAAGTTTGAGTAAAATAGTACATTTTGAATATTATGTCAAAACAAACGTAGCTAAATCTTTGATATTTGTTCATGGTTTTGTATAATCTGCATATGCTAAAACTGCAGGGGTACACAATTTTATTAAACAACAGGGGAATATTTGCTAGCGTCTGTCTGAATAGTAACAGGTTTGTTTACGTCATAGAACTTGAGGATTGGTGCTTGTGTAACGAGCGATTTAAGTTTGTCGAACGCATTGATTTGTCGGTCTTGCCAGAGCCATTAAACTTTGTTTTCAAGTAATTCTCGTAATGGCTGCGTTACCGTAGCTAGATTTGGCACAAATTTCTGTAGGTAACTTATCATGGCTACGAATCTGCGTATGTCATCTTTGCAAGTAAGAGTTGGCATGGTAACAATGGCTTTGATTCACTCTGGGCTAGGCTTCAGACTTTCTGCTGATAGTATGTGTCCTACGTATTCAACTTGGTTGAGACCAATCTTTGTTTTCTGTGGGATTAGCTTGAGGCCAACTTCACGTGCACGCTTCAAAACATTCTCCAAATGCTGGTCATGATTGCGCTTATCACTGCCGTAACACAAATATCGTCAACTACCATCTCTACGCCTTCTAGGTCACCAAATATATCTTGCATGACCTGGTTAAATATGTCACCACTTGTGTTGATGCCAAAAGGTAGCCTGGTGAACCTATAACGCCCCCACGGTGTGTTGAAAGTGTAAAGTTTGGAGCTGTGTTCATCGAGAGCGATTTGCCAATACCCTGATCGAGCATCAAGTTTTGAGAACAACTTTGCATTTGGCATTCTTGCGGCTATTTCTTCAATGGTTTTGGTTGGATGATCTGCTTCCTAACTATCGTCATACTGTTCACCCAAGGAGTTGGTTCAGTTTCTTGCACTATCACACCTATCTCTTGCATGCGATCTAGCTCTGCTTTGACTTGATTGCGAATAGCGTAAGGAATACGGCGAGGTGGATCTGTACTGTGTTGTATAGACTCGTCTACATGAAGGTGGTAGTTGTTTTTGATGCATCCAATACCAGTGAATACATCCTTTGTACTGAATTTGCTCTGTTGTCATATTACTTGTGACGGCATTTACACGGTGAATGAGAATAAGCCTCTGGCATGTATCACGGCCTAAAATCGGTTCTTGGCTGTCAACAACTTAGAATGTTACATTCTCGCCATTGATGTCAACTGTGGTTTCACCTATCGAGAAAATATGATGACCTGAGTATGAAACAAGCTTGCATTGCCTTGGTCTGAGTGGAGTTTGAATCCGCTCGTAATACTGTAGTGGCAAAATGTCAGCTTCACTGCCAGTGTCTAACTTGAACTTTATGTCTTGATTACAAACTTTGAATATCTGAGTCCATGGCTTGCATTGGTCAATTTTGTCGATATTGACGCTTACTCTTGTGATCTAACCCATAAATAACTGAACACCTGCTATGTCATCATCACTGTTACTTAGATGTGATGTGTCAATGTCATTCACTTTGTGAGAGAACGATTTGCGTTTGTTGAATCTAGAGCGAGATTTGCAAACTGATCTAAAATGCCCTAATTTGTGACAGTATAAACACTCTTTCCCATACGCTGGACACTTGGCTCTATTTGCATGGAAAGGACCACCACAATGTCCACACTTCTTGCTGTCACGAGCGATTGATTTTTCATCATTATCTTGAAATCTGGTTTTGACGGGACGCTGGGCGCGATGTCGGTAGAATCGGCCATTTTGTTTTACTGCATGCACACTGGCTTCAGGCGTTTTCAACTGCGACGCGCTGATTTCACTCAAACAACAAATATTCACAGCTTTCTCGAGAGTTAAATCTTCAGTCTGGAGCAGTTTCTCACGCACACTCTCATTACGAATACCACAAACGACACGGTCACATAGTAATGAATTTTTCAACGTGTTGTATTCACAGTCTTTGACTTTCTGACGCAATTCAGTGAAAAATGTATCGAATATTTCACCTGGGTTCTCTGTGGTAGAATTAAATGCGTACCTCATGACAGTAATTCAGAAATTTGTCGTGGTGATGTGCTATTTTGTAGATATCTTCATCGGTGAATGACCAAGTAGCGTGTACTTTCTTGTGCGGCATATCCGGCGACATGAAGAAATACGTTGCACTGTACCTTCTCGTTTTTTGTCGTGACACCACTAGCAATTGCGTATATGCCGTATGCGTATGCTCTGAGCCAGTTCTTGTAGTTCTCGTGAATGTTGCTTTCTAGCTGGAGTGGTCCTGGAGCTTTCAATCCCGTTGTCATTGTTGCAATATCCCGATTCTGACACCAGGTAAAATTGACTGGTCGTGACTCTATGACGCCATGTTGAAGACTGATGATATTTATTCAAGACTTATCAATGACGTAATACAGATTAACAAATGAGCATCGGTACAAGCATGAATACATACATTACAGCCCTGATCCTACTTGTGTTGTCTTGCTTATTTCACGAATATCGAGTGGCCATATATTTCATTGTGAATCACCTTCCGCGTTTTATTGCCTGTGGTATGCGATCTAGTCTGATGCAAGTCACGAGATAACAGTCACTTGTAACTTACAGATAAATAAAGGGTTAGTGCCTCGTTGCTGGTCCTGTGATCAGAAAAACGACTGATCACTGGGATGGCCATGGGTGTGGCAATAACCAATTAATATTTTTACGTATACTGTATATGACTGTAACATGAGCTCGTGATAGTGCTAGGTTGTTGTCTTGTGTTTAAATGTGTAGCAAATACGAGTAATACTATCGATACTTTATGTATAAACAAAATACTAGTAGCTAGAAAAATTATGAGCACGTGCGGCGCCCAAGAATCACATTACTACGTGACTGATTAACCGTAAATGAAGCATGACCTATAATATGCGACCTGTTCCTGAAAAATCAGCCAATAGCATGCGCTTTAAATATACGCGAGTTTACGCAAAATATACGTAGATCTGCGCCGATGTTAATTATGTGCACTGGTTTGTTGCGTGACGGTATACGCTACGTATATGTGGATCTGCGTCAGTATTAACTTTGTGCAGTGGTTTATCACGTGTCGGTACATACTACGCCACAGTCTCGGTGTTGAGCGACTGTACCCGAGCTAATTCGTCCCCGTGCTATCGTTGTCACACGTTGTAGGTTATAGCAATAACACCTGAACAATAGTCTACGGTAAATCTTTGGCTGGCAAAAACATGTAGTGATATTGACTGGGTCGCACGATACGTAAGTGAACAGCTAAGAAACAAGAAACACGCTTTATTAAACAAAACTAATAAGTGAGGGCGTGAATGGCAGTGCA